CCTTATTTAGAGTTTCTAGACTAAGGTCTCTTTTAATATTAAGACCTTGTGATCCATCTAGAAAATGTCTAGTGTCAGGGAATCTTGTGACGACTTTGTATGCACAGGCAACAAACTAGATATGATACACATATCTTCTATACCTTTCTTAAGGCTTCTTTTGTTGTTCTTAGCCTTCAAAGGACTGGCTCAAAGCTGGGAATGGTGGCACACACCTATAATCCCAATACGTGGAATGGGCAGGCACTGAGGTTAGGAGTTTGACACTAACATGGCGAGGGAACAGAATATACTGCATTTAGCAGTTTACTTGATTTTTAATAACTTTTAAATTTGAAGAGCAAAGTTATGTCAGCCATTATTTATGCTCCCAGGTTTGAAGCAGGCCTATCAAAATCTCCAAATTTCAAGTCTTTGCAGCTGTAATAGGAACTGGGTTTCCAAGACAGAAGTCGGCTCTGGCATTCCCCAAACAGAGGATATATAGCAATAGGTGAAGTGGTTAGCACGTATCACAGAAACGGTGTCCCTATCTCACAGTGGCTAAAGACACTGAGCATGCTGTTTCAGAGGTTTCGTTCATGTATTGTTTGTTTTTTTATCTTGATGCATGTTCTTACAAGGTGTTATGTTCTAAATATTTGCTTCCCCTTGAAGTTTGTATGTCATATCAAATTCCCACATTAACAGTCTTTAGAGATAGGACCTTTGGGATGTGACTCGGCCCTGAGTGTACAACCTTCATGAACTGAATTAGTTACCTTAGTAAAAGTTTGGGGGGGCACTATTTTATCCTCCCATCACGTGGGGAGGTAGTGCCGTCAAGAAGCAGAGAGTAAGCCCAGCCAGACTCTGAATCTGGCCTGCCCAGACCCCAGAACTGTGAGCAAAAATAATTCTGCTATTTATGCAAGATATTCTCTACATATATACAGTATGGCCAATATGTGGGAGGCTGAAGTAGGATAAGCAAGAGTTTAAGGCTAGTTGGGCGATCTAGCAAGACCCTATCTCTAATGTATACACATAGATAAATAATCTCATCTAAGGAATTCTGTTATAGCAGCCAAAATGAATAAAGACACTACAAGATTTAGGATTTTTTGTACCTTAGAGGTGAGTAGTATTGCACTAGGGACATGGTTCAAAGTGAGCACGTGTAAGGCTTTGAATTAAACCACAGAACCATCCAAACAACAAAACACATTGACTCGAGTCTATAATTCTAGCTCGATGGGTAATAGAGATAGGGAGGATCATGGTTCAAGGTCACCGTTCAAAGCCAGCCTAGGCAAAAAGTTTACAAGCCATACGACAACCAACAGTAATAACAAAAAGCTGGGAGTGTGTATTTGTCTTTAAAGCTCCATGGGAAGTATAAATAGGAGAATCACAGTCCAGGCCAGCCCAGGTATAAACATGAGACTGTATCCTAAAAATAACTAAAGCTAAATGGATGGAAGTAGTAAGCAGCTCAACTGGTAGAATGCCTGCTTAGCAAACACCAGGCCTTAAGTTCAAAACCCCTTTACCTGCCACCCCCCAAAAAAATGAGATCCATGAGATTCATAACATCAGACATTGCCTCACAGAGTGACTAAGTCTTAAGAAATACTACTTGAGGATTTGGGGCCTTGCCTCTAAATTAGATATATCCCAGAAAGAAAAGCCAATAATTTACACTTGAGTCAGAAGTAGGAGAGTTCTACCTCTTGTCTGGGTCTCTTTGCTCTGCTTCCACTTAGAGTGATAATTCTCATCCTAGACATGATTCTAATAAACCCATGTATTTGGATTTCCTGGAATTTTCTGACTGTGAATATGGACTGGTTTCCAAAACCTTCCATACTCCATCTGGCCTGTGAATGGGCATTTTCCATGATGTGAGAGGAAGGAACTCAGGTGGCTGTGTAATGTCTGCAGCGAATGCAGCTTCTACGCAAGCGGCAGGAGATTTATTCTCACCAAGAGAGATGCAAGCTGCCAAATTCACCGTGTAATTTATAAACTGAGTCAAATAGGATGAAATAAGAACTAAGAGAACAACCCAGTTGGCCAGAAAGTATCCTACATCTAATTCCAAATATTGTTTGAAGCCAAGTTGAATAATCTCACGATCTTCCAGATCTCATTGATTGTTAGGAATTGCTACAAATCACTGAGTCCCTCCCTCCTCCTTTCTTTCCCCCTTCCTTCTTTCTCTCTTCCTTTCTTTCCTCTCTTCCTTTCCTTCCCTCCTGTTTCTTCAGTTTTAGCTCCTACCTGTAGTAATTTCTTTGGACTGCCAAGAAAATAATTGTTGAGGACATACCATGAGTCAGATATTATAAAATGAATGAAACAAAATCATTTTACAAAACCTCTTTTCAACAACCACTCCATAAAACTTCCCTAAAACCAGTCCATAAAACTTTCCCCTACTTTGAGCTTAAATCTTCTCAGATTAAGAGCAATCTTGGCTCTTGTCATACTATGGTCAGTGGCATGCGTACTAATGACAATGGCTAAAACAGGATGGGAGAGAAGGCAGCTACCTCTACCCTTGACTTTATCAATGATCTTTTTTTTTTTTTTAAATTTTATTTTATTTTATTTGAGAACATACTGTACAGAGGGGTTACAATTACATGGGCAGGATAATGCATACATTTCTTACCAAGCATTGCAGCCTCCTCCTTTGTTTACCCTTCACCTCCCTTCCCAGCCTCCCCCCTCCCCCCCACCCAATCATACCCCCCTCCCCCCCCCCCACACCGACATTGTAAAGCTGGTTTTGACATGACATTTTGTACTTCTCATTGTTGCAACAGGTCCACCTGTATCCTTAAACGACTTGTTTGTCCCCGTCTCCTCCACATGTTATACTGACATCAAATATAGTGAAAGCGGGGGTTACACTGTGGGGGAGGGACATACAATGCAACAAAGAAATAATCTTATAAATGCGTTAGAAACACATGCATGAAAGAAACAAAAACATTAAAATACATATTTGAGGGTTCGTTTTCCTAACATCACATTATCTGACTTTTTCCGCTTGACTCATACCTATACTAGATATTGCAAATAAGGGAAACCATGGGACCTATGTTTCTTTGGGCCTGGCTTACTTCACTTAATATAATTTTTTCCAAGCCTTTCCATTTCCTAACAAATGGGGAAATGTCATTCTTTCTGATGGAGGCATAGAATTCCATTGTGTATATATACCACATTTTCTTGATCCATTCATCTACTGAGGGGCATCTGGGTTGGTTCCAGATCTTAGCTATGGTAAATAATGCTGCAATAAACATAGTTGTGCTGGTAGCTTTAGTGTGGTCTTGTTTGTAAACATTAGGGTAAATGCCCCAAAGTGGGATTGCTGGGTCATAGGGGAGTTCTATGTGAAGTCTTTTGAGGAACCTCCATACTGCTTTCCAAAGTGGTTGAACAAGTTTACATTCCCACCAACAATGAAGTAAGGTTCCTTTCTGTCCACATCCCCTCCAGCATCTGTTGTTGTTAGAGTTCTTGATTTTTGCTGTTCTAACTGGAGTGAGGTGATATCTCAATGTTGTTTTGATTTGCATTTCTTTTATGGCTAGGGATGTTGAACATTTCTTCATGTGTCTATTGGCCATCCTTCTTTCTTCTTCAGAGAAGCTTCTCTTTAAGTCTTTCGCCCACTTACTTATTGGGCAGTTGTTTCTTTGAGGATTTGTTGTTGGATGGTTTAATTTTTTGAGCTCCAAGTATATTTTAGATATGAGAGGAATTAACTAAAGAAGTGAAGGACCTCTATGATGAAAACTTTAAAATCTTGAAAAAGGAAATCAACACAGAACTTAAAAAATGGCAAAACCTCCCATGCTCCTGGATTGGAAAGATTAACATCGTGAAAATGGCAATACTTCCCAAGGCTATCTACAAATTCAACGCAATACCTATCAAAATTCCAACCTCATTCTTCAAGGAAATAGAAGAGGCAATCCAAAAATTCATATGGAACAATAAAAGACCCCGAATAGCAAAAACGCTCCTCAACGGAAAGAACACTGCTGGAGGAATATTAATACCAAATTTCAAACTCTACTATAAAGCCATAGTAATCGAAACAGCATGGTATTGGCTTAAGAACAGACCTCAGGACCAATGGAATAGAATTGAAAACCCAGAAATGAACCTACAGACCTATAGCCGTCTAATCTTCGATAAGGGAGCTAAAACAATAGAATGGAAGACAGACAGCCTCTTCAGTAAATGGTGCTGGCAAAACTGGTTAACTACATGTAGAAAACTAAAGCTAGATCCTTATATATCACCCTGCACCAGAATCAACTCCAAATGGATCAAAGACCTTGAACTCAAAGCAGACACTCTGAAAACATTACAGGATGGAATAGGAGAAACCCTGGGTCTCCTTGGCTCAGGCCGAAATTTTCTGAATAGAGACCCGGAAACACAACAAATCAAAGAAAGGTTGGACAAATGGGATTGTATAAGGTTGCAGAGCTTCTGCAGGGCAAATGACATAGCTAGCAAGATCAATAGAAAGCCCACGGACTGGGAGAAGATCTTTACTATCAATGATCTTGACAAGAACTCTGATCTACAAGAGTGTCACACGTGGAAAAGAGGAAGGGGGCAGGAATAAATGCTTGCTCAAATTCTCTGATTATATTACTTGAAAAAGAAAAAAAAAAACATTATCTGTGATGACAATGAGAAGAACTAAATCTCCAAAGTCAGAAATGTTAAAATGAAAAACAACAATTTGGCCCCTTGAAATGCTTGTTCATCTAGCTATTTGCAATAAATATCCTATTTCCTCTAGTGTAAAATATTTAAATTATTTTTCTAGGTCTGGCCTTTGCAAGAGTAAAATTAATGTAAGTGGAGACCATCCTGTAGACAGACACACACACACACACACACACACACACACACACACACACACACACACACACACACACACACACACACACACACACACAAAATCTGCAGAGAATCATCGCCACCTGCTGGTTTAAAGTGATGCTGCATGCACATGGTAATGAGGGAAAATTGTTACACCAAGGCTTGACCCAGTATAAACTCTGGAGCATTCGTTTTAACCAGAAGCTGAGTTTTCAAACCTTGACCAGATTAATTTTAGCCAATTTTCATTTTTACTTTTATACACATTGTTCATCCCTGCTATATATCTTTCTCCAAAAATCAGGCCAATAATACAGACACAGGTTCTTTTTATTCAGCTATCATTAATCAACCAAACTGCTCATCCACATGCCAGCACTTCACATCTTCCAGTTCTAAAATGGAACCATATGGAGAAAATTAAGTATTTACTGAATTCTGTTAAGAAAGGCTTTGTGGATAGGTATAATATGCCCTTTTAGAGACTGGGCATGGAAATATACAAAGTTCTCCTGATCGCTCCTTAGGGATCTATCTGGGATACCGAGATCAGGAGGATTGTAGTTCAAGGCCAGTCCAGGCAAAAATTTGAGATCTCAAAGCTGGGCATGGTGACATGAACCTGTGATCCCAGACATGAAAGAGATTGAGATCAGGAGGATCAGAACCAAGGCCAGCTCAAGCCAAGAAGAACCACTGGTTCAAAGTATAGAGTCCCTGCTTTGCAAGCACAGAGCCTTGAGTTCAAATCTTATCAAAAGGAACAAAAGAAGAAAAAACACAGAAAGTTAAGTATCAATCAGGTAAGACAAACGATCATACTTTAAGAACCTGAACCTCAGGTGTAGGCCAGAGAAGATGTTATAGAACATCATCCAGCAAAATGCCACGGATTTTGATGAGATTAAGAGGTGGTAGACAAAAGAAGAGCAGGAATTTAAAAATAGAGGCAGAAGAATGCTGAGAATATATTCTTAGTTTTAAAAAAGAAAAAAAAATCTTTGGGAAACAGCAGGAGGATTAATTTAACCACGTTGGACTTTTTAAGGGAATACTTTTAAGATAAGGCAGGAACAGGAACTGGAGACACAATTAGATGATTCAGTAAAAGAACAGATAAGAATTGAGCTTATTCTGGTAAACAATCAGGAGGTATTAACAGTTTCTGGGGAGGAAAACGAAATGATAAGCACTATGTTTTATGAAGACTCACCTGGCTATTGTACAAGACAAAGTGACTATAAGATGTACAAAGCTGCCCTGGCTGTCAGAGATTTTCAAAAGAGCATTTTTTAAGAGTATTTGTTGAGGTGATGATTGTAAAAGGAAATGTAGGAAGGAATTTAGCACTTGGATATACTTCTCTATCAGTGAATATATACAAATCTAAAGTAATTCTGTATATTATATCAAGAGAGTGTTCACATTTAAGAAAAGAGAAAAGAGGGGAAGGATCCAGAAAAGAACAAGATTCTGACCAAAAATAATAACAGTGGGTTAAAGACTCCCAGCGACTTCTAGAAGAATAAAAATTGAGAAATGAGTTGGTTAAATCATGACACATTGGAATCATGCACAAACAGTAAATTGGTTAACTTATTGGCTTATGATTTAATTTTCTTGTCATTATAGAGGTTTGGGCAGGAAGGAAGTTAGATTCTGTCTTCCCTACATGTGACTATGAATATCATTGGAGAAAGAATGCTCTACAACATTGACTTTAATCATGGATTTTATTTTTTACTTATTTCATTTGACTTATGGGTACACTATAATTTTTCATATTCCTTTTGTTGGATATATGAGTTGTAGCCAGCTCTTCATTGTTTTCAAATAAGAGTGTAGTAAGCAGCATGTAGCTAGGTAATTATGTATATTTAGTATATTTTCTAAAATTAACTTCTAAAAATGTTCTTGAGAATTTTGTTCCAATTAATCCACAGCAGAAATATGTGAACAATTTCTTAGTAATTGGGTTGTTTTCTTTAAAAATAAATCCTGTCAGCTGGCGCTGGTGACTCAGACTGTAATCCTAGCTCTTTGAGAGGCTGAGATCTGAGGACTGAAGTTCAAATGTAGCCTGAGCAGACAAATCTGAGCGATTCTTTTTTTTTTTAAATTTTATTTTATTTTATATGAGAACATACTGTACAGAGGGGTTACAATTACATGGGCAGGATAATGCATACATTTTCTGAGCGATTCTTATCTCCAATTAACCTGGAGAAAGCCGGAAGGGCTAGCCTTGAACTCAAAAGGATAAGCAAGAGCTCAAGGACCTGAGTTCAAGAGGAAAGAAGAAAAGAAAAAGAAAGAAAGAAAGAAAGAAAGAAAGAAAGAAAGAAAGAAAGAAAGAAAGAAAGGAAGGAAGGAAGGAAGGAAGGAAGGAAGGAAGGAAGGAAGGAAGGAAGGAAGGAAGGAAGGAAGGAAGGAAGGAAGGAAGGAAGGAAGGAAGGAAGGAAGGAAAGAAAGAAAGGAAAGAGAAAGAAAAAAGAGGGAAGGAAGGAAGGAAGGAAGGAAGGGGAGAAGGCCATTAATCTGAAAGATAAAACATGTGCTTATTCAAATATACAATTATTTGAATAGCAATAGGGTTGTATACTTATTCTGTTTATTAATTTTTGATGTTGTTCAAACATTCTGCTCTCATTAGCTTCACAATTCAGTTAAGTTCTCTGAGAAGCAATCATTAAGCCAACGTTAGCTCTCCAGGAGGCAAGGCTCAAAATAAAGTTTGGAATTCAAGGACCAGGTAGAAAACAGGCTTCAAAGTTGCATTTCAGGTCAGAATTATGAAGTTCTGGGTCGTTCTTCACAGACACTTGACCAAGAGTTGGAAGCACAGACAGATCTCTTGGGTATAGATAGCTCTTGGACATTAAATTTAAGTGAAAAGTTTCAAAGGGCTCTGGGTTATCTCAGAGTTCTTGAGACAGTAACCAGATGAGAAACTCTCTATCGAACAAGAAAGATTTGCAGGATGGGAAGGGGAAACAAAGGAGGAGGCTACAATGCTTGATAAGAAATGTACTCATTATCTTGCTCATGTAATTGTAACCCCTCTGTACAGTATTTTCACAATAAAAATAAATAAAAATTAAAAAAGAAACTACATTCTTAAAAAAAGGAAAGATTTGCAATAGAACTTGCACTGAAAAATTTTGTAACAATGAACTATTTTATATAAAATTAAAGAAGGTTGAGAAGGTCATAGCTTAACTACCTGGGTGATACTGATCAAAAAGCATTATCTTCATAAACTGATTTATTAAATGATAACTCCTTTGTACAAGTACATAAAGATAATTTAAAATGTTGAAACCCAATTAATAAATGGGCTAAACATTTAAAGAAAAACTTCTCAGAAGAAGTAAGAATGGCCAATAGACACACAAAAAAGTTTTGATTTCTCTGGCCACAAAAGAAATGCAAATCAAAACAACATTGAGATGTGGCTGAAGAGAACTCTATTCCACTGTTGGTAGGAATGTAAAATTGTTCTACCACTCTGAAAAACAGTATGGAGGTTCTTCAAAAGACTAAATAGAGCTTCCCTATGACCCAGCAATTCTACTCCTAGGCATTTATCCAATTGACCAAAAACCAGCCACACTAAAGCTACTAGCACAACCATGCTCATTTCAGTATTTTTTACTATAGCCAAGATATGGAATCAACCCAGATGCTCCTCAGCAAACAAATGTATCAACAAAATGTGATATATATATATACATATATATATATGGAATTCTATGCTTCCATCAGAAAGAATATTTCCCCATTTGCAAGGAAATGGAAGGACTTAGAAAAATTACATTAAGCTAAGCAAGCCAGACCAAAGAAACATAAATTGCATGGTTACCCTCCTTTGTAGTAATTAGGATTGAGTAAACACAATGGATGGTAAAAGACAAAACATTATACTTGGACATGATAAGTTAAACAGTTATACGCTAAACATTTATACATTGAGACCAAAGGAATATATTCTTAGGAGAGGATCACAGGGTTCAATAGCTATGTGCATAAGATATATAAAATTGTTTATCAAAATGAACTCCAAGAAATGGAAACAAGAGGGTTTTTTGTTATTTTATCTGCCCCTCCCCACTTTGTCACTGTTTTTTATTTCTGTTCCTTTGATCTTGTATGTAAGTTTATCTATTTAGGGAGGGTAAAGAGAACACGGAAGTGGTAGGACAAAGGGTGAACTACTTCAGCATGATACTCACTAGACACTGTATTGCAAATGAACTATAGAACTTGAGGGGAAGGGAGGGAGGGAAAAACCTAGGAGAAAACAGGGAAGAGGTGACACTGTACAAAAAGAAACGTACTCATTACCTGACTTGTGTAACTATAGTCCCTCTATATATCACTTTTGCAATAAAAATATAAAAATAAAAAATAATTTTTAAAATGGTGACAAAAGCAAAAGAAGATATAACTACTGTTTTACTTCCATGGTCATTGATCAGTCGACACATGAACCCAGGTGGCTTCCTTCCTTCTCCAGCCTCCCTCCCTCTTTGTTTCTTCTCCCTTCCTGCATATCTTCCTTTTCCTTCTGCCTTTAATGCTTCCTATTTAAGAATTCTGTAGAAGGTATATACATCTACCATACATTCAGAAAATAACTAAAAATTAGTGTTCCCCTTGAGAAAAAAAGAGAGTATTTTCATACTTTTGCTCTTCACAACCAAGTTAAGAGGTTCAATATCTAGGAATTTGAAAGTCTATGAATTACTAATGCTTAAACTTTTGTGTATTCAAAAGTGATAAATATTTGTTTAAAATATTTAAGCATGTGGTAAGATTTAGGTTTGTGCTAAATGCCTATAATCTTAGCTACTAAAGAGGCCAAGATAAGAAGGATATTGGTCCAAGACCAAATGAGGCAAAAGTTAGCAGGACACTATCTCAAAAACAAGCTGGGCATGGGAGGGCACACTTGCAGTCCCAGCTACTTCTGAGGTAGAAATAGAAAGATCACTAACAGACTAGCACAGGCAAAAGTAAGAGACCCTACCTATAAAACAAACTAAAAGCTAAAGAACTAAGAGAGTGGCTCAAATCCTGGCCTACCAAGTTTGAGGTCCTGAATTCAATTCCCAATACTGAAAGATTGAGGCAACACAGAATTGTACAAAGTCCAGAGCAAAAGTGACTCAGGTATGCACATTAACAGGGAAAGGAAGTCTCATCTGCTCCTCCCATGGGGTGAGAGAGTGAGCAGTACCCTCACAGACATGCTTCTAAGCATATACACACATGCAAATGAAGTAGGGAGGTCAAGTCTGCCCAGCACCATGGTCACATGGTGGATGGCAGGGTCTGGCATCTTGTCTTCATGCTAGGGGAAGGAAATGCCCCACCTCCCATGTGATTCCTGTGGACCTGCCCCCCCAGCTGTCCCCCACCCCCCCCACCCCCCCCCCACCCCCCCGCCACATGAGAAGAAATTACCAGTAGAATTAGCAGGACTTGTCTCTTATGGGTCCAATCACGTTCCTCAAGAAATTGTAGTTAAGTCCTAATCCTTGGTACTTGTGAGTGTGACCAGTGTCTTTATAGAAGCAGAAGAGAGATTGAAATGCAATAACACATTGAAGCATCAGCAAGCCAGGTAACACCATGAAAAAAAAAACAACAACAACAAACAACCAGGACTGCCAGAAACTAAGAGAAAGGCACAGAATAGATTCTCCCCTAGGCTTCAAGGTGTCATGACTACCTTGCTGACACCTTGATTTTGGATTTCTGGCCTCCAGAATGGGAAAGAATAAACTTTAGTTATTTTGAGCAACCAGTTTGCAGGACCTCATTAGACAGCCCTAGGAAATGAACAGAAGCCAGTTGGTAGGAGTGGCCAGGAGGAGATGGGGATCAAAGATGGCCAAGAGGTATATGGCTTAGGCTGTTGAGTGGATGCTGGTGTTGACAACTGTTAAGGATGGATATAGAAAACATAGGAGGAATCATGGGGTGGGGCTAGGCACAAGTGAGGGGTTCAGTGTCTGATGGCAGATCATGGTGCCTACTGTCCACCTGTTTAGATAGGCCCAGTCAGTACTTAGAAGTTTAAGCTGAAGGACGGCTGCAGGAACTGGAGGTGTAGGTGAATGACTCTAAAAAGTTTGAAATGTGTTCAGATTCAAACTGGAAAATCTGCACCCTTTGTCTAAGTAAGAGAGTATACTCTGACAGAGATGTTAGTGTTTCCATAAGCAAACCAAGAAAGCCCTTCATTAGTACTATTAAGTCCATTTCCCAGTGAGCAAGAACCCCTTTCTCAGCTGCTCCAGTCTATGGAAGCCAGCACAGGCCATAGAGGGAGGGATAGGCAGCAAGACATCCCAGAGCATGTGGGAAAGTCCTATGGGAAGGGATGGGAATGGGGTCAGGGGCTGGTGGGCTTGACTCTGATTGATGGATTCTGCAGAGCCTTGGCTTCTCTCTGTGAAATAAACAGAAAGGAGGAAACCAAAATAACTGCACAGTCAGTTCAAGCCTTTTCCTTTACGAGGGGGCAAATCAGACACAGACAAGGTAAGTAGTTTACTCAAGGTCACAAACAATTGACTCTTGGAACTGGAATTTAAAAAGGGCCTTTTTCATTACAGCCTTTCTATGGTGTCTTTCAGTCTTTGAAGCCTATGCTTATAAAAGCAATTTATAAATAGAATGGGATGATAGAAGCTTCTAAGAAGCAACATCCACTGCAAAAATTGCCATTGAAAGAGAACTGATTGGAATTCATCAGGCTCACAATTTAGAGGCCTCACATTAATTCTGGGCACTGGAGCAAAACCTACAGGGTAATTGTTTGAGTGCAGGTCAGCCAGGTGGATTGCTTCTTTACATCTTCAAGAACATTCCAGAACTCTGTCAGAACCCTTTCGTTTTAAACACTGGGCTGTGTGTCACTAATGATCCCTGTTATGATTGGGAACTGTGCCCAACTTACTCCTACCCCAGCTGGGAAACACACACACACACACACACACACACACATGGATACAGCTTCCTTACCCTAAAATCAGCATCCAGATGTTATAGAGAGAAACAGCCCATTGCTTCCCCAGGTGATACGTTCACTGAAAATCAGCTTCCCCCAGGCCACCTTGAGTGGGGCTTCCAAGCCTGAGCTGGACTTATGGTATGTCTGGCAAGTGAAGGGAGAGCTAGTGAGCACCTCGCCCCCATCAGCTCCCAGAAACAGATGTAATTATGACCAAGGGCTAGTTGCTGATGGCTGAGGGGCAGGAAGTTTCTTCTTTGGGAAACAAGCAAGAAAGAACATAGCATCTTCCTTGCCACCCTCTTCCCCTTCTTTCCGCTCTCATTTTCTCTATTTTAAACCATCCATTTGCCTCTGGGCCTCCTTTCCCTCTCTCTTTGTCTTCATTTTTACTTTCCCTCTGTGCTTCTCTTTCTCTTCCCTATTTTCCTCTACCATGTCTCTTCTTCCTAATTCTCTCCCAACCCTGACCTTTCTTCTACTGGATATTTGAAGAGGAAGTCAGTTTAAATCAGAGCAAGTTAATACATTCAGTGTCTTGAAAAGACAAGTTCTACGATAATGGAGGGGAAGGGAGTCTTCCTCTCACAAAAGGATAGAGATCAAATGACCGTGGGCTGGTCACTATGGGATGAGGAATCCCGAAGCCTAGGAAGATACAGCAAGCTCCATAAAGGCAGTGCCAGGTAGTCCTTTGAGTGGCCAAACATGGAGCTCACCAGAATTCAATAATCCTAGTTCTTACCTCCATTCCAATTGAGATGGAAAATTGAGTATGTGCAGAAAGACATAGAATGAGTAGAAATGCTACCTACAAGTGTGTAATGAAGATTCTTAATGCCATTAAACTATACACTTAATAATAGTTACAGTGTTAAGTGCTACAATATGCCATTTTGTCACCAGTAAAAATTAAGAGCATAGGAATTAGTATGGATCCAGAAAGAACATGAAGTCAAGGCTATTGGAAGGAGAAGCCACAAGTGTGTGTGTGTGTGTGTGTGTGTGTGTGTGTGTGTGTGTGTGTGTGTCTGTGTCTGTGTCTGTGTCTGTGTCTGTGTGTGTAAATAGTTATATAACATAGCTTTTCTAGTTTGGATCTGGATTCTCCTCATCCTGAGTCTCATCTGTTGAAGTTGCTATGAGGTGATTGAATCTTAAGGGTTCTGATCTAATAGATGGGTTAATGGAATTAAGCTGGAGTGAACCATTGGGATGGGACCTTGGAAGGTGGGGCTTGATAAAGAATATTGGTTACCAGAGGCATACCTTTAACAAATCTTGTTTCCAGTCTCTTCCTCTTTCTGTCTCCCTCCTGAAGCTAGATGCCCTTCACTATGTCCCTCCGCTATGATTCTCTGCCTTATACAAGCCCAGAAGCAAGAAAGCCAGCTGACCACGGACTCAAACCTCTGAATCAGTGAGCAAAAATCAATCTTTCCTCCTTTACATTTTGTATTTGTCACAGAGATCAAAACACTGGTGAACATAATAGCCAAATTCACATGGAAGAAATAAAATCTTGAGGATAAGACCTTTTGAGACATGTCAGTAAAAAGGCATCATACCCAGGTGTCTGTCCAGGTGTCTGAAGTGTTAGCTAAACCGCTAAGTCTCTGTTCAGTAGGACTCCTTTCCTAAAGCCAAGAAAAAAAAATACAGCCAAGTGTCATCACTATGGAGTGACAGAAAACTTGGTTAAAATATTATAAAGGTATTCAATATCCTCAGAGCCTGATCAACCAAAACTCAATAAGATACCCTCTCTGAAAATATTTATCTAGGCAGGAGACAATAAAACCAGAAGGATCTTGTGATGAAATCTGTTTTAATTCCACGTGTCAAATCTCACCTTAATAAATAATGAGTTAGCATAGAAATAAACCCTTGGTTTCTAAAGCTGAAACTTTGGAATTTTGCCTGGAGCCAATCATTATTAGCCTAAATCCTGTACCAGTCATAGGTCACATGTATCCAGCAGGCACCCTTTACTGGCTTTTATGGATGTTAATTAACTGCTCCATTATTGGCAGGCAATTCAGACACACTCAGCTAGAAATGCCAGCTGCTTCACCAAAGCCATGATGTGTCTGAGCCTTGCATAGAGGGCTGTAAAATCATAGTGGCATGTCGACACAGTAGAACAACTCAGGACAAGTTTAGATTGGGTAGCATGGATATGAATGGCTGTTTCCTACCCTGAACTCATTTTATTCCTAACCTTTCCTAACCACCTGGATAGCCAGCCACCTGCTGGATACTAACCTAAGAAAGTGCTGGTCTTTTCCTGTCATCCAGGCCTTTGTAGTTAGATTGACAATGTGCTCTTCCATTCTTACAGGAAGTAAAGCCTTCCATTTGCATAAAATGTTTCAAGGTTACCACAGTCCACCATGGGTTAATTCTGTTCCTATAAAGCAGGTAATGGGGCTAGAGTTACTATCTTCAACTGAGAAAAAAAAGTTTCAGGAAGATTTGAAAATTTTCCTAAATGACATAAGAGAGCTGGGACCTGAAGATTTCCAATCTGTGTTCCCTAGTGCTCAACTGGCCTCTTTCCATTGCCCGTGAGCCCCCATGTTCCCTGTCTTGACACCTGTCTTGACATAGCGTCTGGTTGGCCTGCACATATTATTCTTATGGTAGTAAAACACATTTAACATCATCTTATAATGGTAATAAATACATTCACGTTGTTGTGTTTCCTTTACATCTATCCATCTCCAGAACCCTTTTCTCATTCCAATCTGAAACAGTGGCCTTTAGGCAATATGTCCCATATATCTCTTCACCCATCCCTTAATTACCCTGTTCTACTGTCTAGTTCTATGAGTTTGTACTTAAACTTCAGATAAAAGCTGGTAGAAGTAGAAAAAAATCCAAGGAGCTGCTTACTCCCAAAACTGAAATCTCAAGCAATATGATAGAATAAATAAAATAAAAATAGAATCCGATTTTAGAACACACACACACACACACACACACACCAGGCTTTCCAGCTTTCCCTTTGATCATAAAACTTAGGTCATAGTCAATATTAGAATCTGTTGTTGAAAACCCAACAATACTAGCCTTCTGAGGGTATCCCACTTCTATATCCTCCAGTCCTGCTATGGCTGTGACATGTTTGTTATTTTTTTAAAGAGATGGTCAACATTTATTTTAGTGTAGGGGACAAGAAAAAGGAAAAGTAGGATGTAAGTGCTTACCATCTATTTACCCTTGAGATGAACCAAACATTTTTAAGACCCTACTACATTCATTGTGGTTTACTTCCATAAAAATCTAGGCCAAGTGAATGAAGACTTTTGGGCCCATCTTTCTAGGCTTTTTAACTCCTTTGGTTCTAATTTCTCAAACTTTCATTGGAAAGTTTGAAATGTGTTTCCAGAACAAGCTCATATCATAAATGCTTTACTGTATCAGATACTGAACTTTTCTCTTATTTTGTTCACAAAAAAGTGTTCTAGCCCAGATGCCATTAACTCACATCTGCGTTCCTACCACTTGGGAGAATAAGGTGAAAAGGATCATGGTCAGGGCCAGCATGAGTAGAAAACTTAGAGAGATCCCTTCTCAATCCATAGGTGGATACAGTAATGAGAGCTTGTCATCCTTACTTACGTGGGAAAGGGCACACACTTGTGATCTCAGCAGCTACAGGAAGACCAAAGACCAAAGTTAGACTGCAAACCAGATAATCCCCTTGCGTTTGCTAAAAATGTCAAGCCAAAGACAGGCCTGGAGGAATACCTCAGTGGTAGAATACCTGTCTAGCAAGCAAGAGACCCTGAGTTCAAACCCCAGTACCACCACTAAAAAAAAGAAAAAGTTCTGTGTCTCTCGAAGTGTTCATCCACTTACCAAATAGTGACTGAACACCTAAAGTATACCAAGCACTGAACCAGTAAAGTAGGACATGTAGTCCACCGTTGAGAAATCCATCTGCCATTGGTAGAAATCAATTGCAATTAAATGTCAGGCAAGAATATATATATGGGGTTAGGGAAGGGCATTCAGAAAGGCCCACCCAGATTAAAAGCTCTGTGGCTAAGGATGGTCAGCATATCTGTCTCCTGGAATTGTTGGGTTTCCTTTCTTGTTTTGCTTAAGTTTTCATATTGATCTTCTTTCTGAAACTATTCTGATACATCATATCTGATGTTGAGTTCTTTTTAAAAATGTTTTTATTCTAAAAGTGAGGTACAGAGGGATTTCAGTTATATAAATAAGGTAATGAGTACATTGTTACCCCCTCCCTCCTTTTCTCCCACTTTCCCTTCTCACCAACTCCCCTCCCTGCCAAGTTGTAAAGTTCATTTCCAACATAGTGTCTTGTGAGTATTGTTGTTGCACTGGTTCACCTTCTGTCCTTTGTCTCACCATTTTATGATTCGCCTTTTCTTTCCCAAATCAGATAAACGTATATACAAGACACAGGGTACCAATGTTGAATGCTTAACAGCCCTTTTAGACCAAGGATTATCAGCCTGGGGTAAGGTTCCAGCTCCCACTCTCCATTTCTGGCACTTTTTCCTTCTCTTCCTCTTACACATACCATCCATTGGGCCTTCACTTACATATTCAGACCAGCTAGACTTTCCTTGGGTGCTGAAGGGAAGATTAAAGAAGCTCCAGGTTCAGATGTGGCAGCTAGTTTATCCATGACTGGTATTTCATTCTGACAAATCAAAGGGATAAGATGAGACTCTCTCACCTATACTGAGGGAAGGCTCTCTCTTGGTATAGCCTTCCTGGTGTCCCCATAATTGTCTAGCTCTGGTGCCCGGCCTGGTGTTCCTGGTGTTCCAGGGAGCTGCTAAGATTCAGATCTCCACCTCTCTAGGAGAGCCCAACTGTCTCCATCAAACTCTAAACTCCAAACTCTAATGTTAAGCACAGTTGGAGAGCTTGTTCTGCTCATTTCCCATCTTTCGTGCCCCACCCCATTAGGTAGGTGTCTGTATGCAGTGATCTGATCATCACTGCCAATTACATGCTGTCACTTTCTGTGACTGCCTTGCTGAGTACCCTTGTCCTTGAGGACGACCTACATTGACCTTTCAGAACAGTCAATGCAGGTCTCACTTCTCTTATAAATAAGTGACCATGGTCTTGTCATGCCAGGCTCTGCTGAAATACAG